CTTTCTAACAATAAGCATGAAATTGGACTCTTTTTTCTTGTATCAGGACAAATTGTAGGGATTTATTATTTGGGTAGTTTTGTTATTTATCGTTACTTTAAAACTTTTTATAAACATATAAATGTTACTGTGAACTATGAAAAATCACTTTAAGCCTTTTTGCTGTGTCAGTCTAGTGTCACTTTGTAAGAACACAAAAATGGAACTGTGGTCTACGTTTGTTTCCTGCTCTGCTATGACATTGCTTTTTGCTGTAGTACAGAGATCCATCTTCTCTCTATGTATTTTGTCCAGATGCAAATTGAGGCAACTGATTAGATCAAAAGAGAGCTGAACCTCAGCTGAATTCTGCAAAAAGGTACTACTGAAGTGCAAAGTATTATTTAACCAAGAAGAAAACTTGGTTTATTATTAATTAATTATTATTAATTAAAGCCTTAATTGAAAATAGTTAAGAGCCATTTCTTCCAAAAAATGTTTCACTGCAAGACTGAGGGATTTTTATTTGAAGTATAGAAATGAATCCTTAAAGAAGGTATCTGAACAATGGTAAGGAGAAGCAGTTATACTTGTCTTCTCATCAGTGTGCTATTCTCATTTACATGCTGTGAAAGACTTCAGAAAAAAAGACTTTATTTTTTGTTTTATATAAGTACCACTATATGGATTTTTTTTTTTCCTGCCAGTCTCTCTAGTGCTCTAAACTATCAGTCATGCAGGCAGGTAAGGGTGTATGTTTCAGTGCACATATGTATGTAGAGATGTGGAGGTGCACTGTTTCCCCTCTCCGTCTCAATCTCCCGGTCTTTGTCGAGCTACCTCTAGCCAATGCCTCTGCATTACCTTGAAGGTTTTCCTTCCCATCATGTTGGTAGGATCCAGAAAAGCTGTTGTTCTCCTGACACAAGAAGGAAGACTTTTCTTGTGCTTTCCTTTCCTTGTGTCACCAAAATCAAAAAGGTAATAACAGGTACTTAAAACAAGTATTCAGTATGGTCTGACCATTCAATTGCCAGGTACACTGAATAGAACTGAACTCAGGTTTGTGTCCGGAAACTTTAATTGCAATTGTGCATTGAATCACCAAAGAACAGTCCAGTGTCCAGATCAACTGGAACTGGCAGCAGAGCAGCTGCTGAGGTGCTGTACGCTCTGGGTAGGTTTCGGTGAGCAATCCTGCAACAGAAATGAACAGCTGCATTAAAAAAGCTATCCAAGGGTGCTTGTTAAAATTTTAACAGCCAGGAAGTATATTCTAACTTCACGTAAAAGCAAAGTAAATGTGTGTTGCATAAAGCGTACTTTTATTTTGGTGCTTCTTTATTCTGCTTTGTAACAAGTGCAATCTTTGATACTTCTCTCATTTCTGCTCTTCTCATTTCTTCATATAAAATTATTTACTGCAATAACTTCCAAAGAGGAAGTTGGAAACATAATGTGGTTTGAAGTCTGTGTGATTAGTGCTAATAGAAATTTTTTTATTAGCTATTTTGACCAAAGAATTTTTTTCCAAAAACCTATAAACGTTGTGAAATTAAAATAAGTTCAAGCTTTCCATAATTATTATCTCAAGTAAATTTGAGAAGTGCTTATCTTCTGAATTGGAATGAAAGCAGATATTCAAAAGATTGCCGTGTCGGGGAAATGATTGCGCCGAGTTTGAATCCACTGATCTTGTAGTGAATTCCAGTAATGCTTCTGAGCTGTAGCATGGCATTTGCTTTTATGACTAATACCTGCTGGCCACATTGATTTCATCTGAGGACATCTGTGATTGAAGCCAAGGGATCAGCTTTAAGAAATAAAATGTTACATGAGGGATTATCTTGTTCTTAATTTAACACCTTCTCTCTGTAAATATTTTATTAATGTAAACAATGGACTCTACAGAATTGTGGATTTAAATTTAAATTTTCTTTTATTATTTGTGATGTGCTTTCAAGTTGATCTATTTAGTTGAACCTTCTTTTCCTGAGTAAATTAGTTGAATTTGTCTGAATATGAGCTCTAAAGCACAGGAACGTCAATGATTTTTTCCATTTCTTTTTACTCTACCTTGCTTCTCTTGAGTGTTTTTGCTTTTGCCTGAGAGGCAGACTTGAATCACCCCAAAGAATTGTGTGGGTTTTGATGCATTTTGGAATACATGGAATGAATGTTTTGGTTTGGACACTGTTTCATCTATAATCTGTATGTACAGATTGATAAGAGGAGCCTGACCTCAGAATTTCCTTGTATTTCTTTATCAACCTGTACTCACTAGAATATGTATTATATGTATTGGTTTTCATTCTTCCATTCAGAATCTGAGTAGTAATTTACACTTCTCATCTCTAAGTCTGAAAAAAATACATCGGACGTGGTAATAGTTTTAATTTTACTTAAACAGACCAGGCAGAAAAGCCATAGGAAAATTAAGTCACGGGCTATGCTCTGTCGTTATGGGAAATAGATTGGTGACCTGGCAGAAAATATGAGTCTGCATCCATTCCTGGGACATAGCCAGTCGCTAACAGTTTGCATTAACGTTGTCAATCTTAGTTCCTTGCAACAGCTGAATTTCAAAAGACTGTCCTATTTGGGCAGGCACGGCCCCAGCCTTGCTCCCAGGGGCTTCAAATGCAAGAGCCTCAGTTTAACAGCAGTTCCCAAGGAAAGGGGAGGAGCCCTGCTGAGACAGAGCAGAGCTTTTGGAGGGAGCTTCTTCTAAGACTTGTTTCTTTGAAGGCCACTGGCTGCACTGTCTGTAAGGCTGCCTGATCCCCGGGAGGGGAACATGTTTTAAGGGCCCAGAGACAAAGTACAATATAGGTGAAAGGCTTCCTTCTAGGAGAATGTGGTTTTAAGTGATTTGGAAGAAGAAAAATCTGTTAGGTTCTTGCTACATCATCTAGAAGCAAATTTGTAGGATCAGTGACTTAATCCATTGAAGCAATGGGAGGAAAAGCTGATACTCCATCTCAACTTTCTAAAATTACTGTTTCTAGAATTTACTGTTTTCTTTGGCCTGGATGGCAAGTAAAAGTGTGATGTAAACAGTGGACATGCAATGCCTTTGTGATGGCTCTGTATGTAATGAAAACGGGCATTCTTGCTTCTGGAGAGAAGTAAATGTTTGGGCTATAAAGCTTTTTTTGTGGTTTGCAGAAGTCCTAGTGTTCTGTCACTCTGAAAACGTATTTTTACTAAAGTAGCTTCAAAATAATGTTGCTGATAAATTCAGCTTAGCTTTGCCTCAGACTCTCTTGTGAAAGATCAAAAATTTTCTTTACAAATCTGGTTTCCTTTTTGCAGACATATTGTGATACCTTGGTGTTAACAAGCAAGTTAGGAACGTTGTCTGAATTTCCTTGTGCTTATTCTAGAAACTGATACTTGATAGTAGTTTGATTTAGAGTGTGATCAGAAGGATATTATTAGTTCAGCTAAATCCCCCAAAATAAGTGTGCTGCTAGTATTTCTATTATACTCTGCTTATTAGTGTGTTTTTAATCTGGTTTATGTTTCATCAGTCATGGGCATTGGCAAATGGTGGCTAAATGTTTATGAATTAGGAATGAATGCTAAAATATAATTACATAGATCCACTAGGCATTTTAGGTCCTAATCTTGTAACTGCTTTAAGAGGGAGAGATGTTTTTCTGAGTTTGCTTATTAGGTTTGTTCGCATGCTGGGAGCATCTTATCTGGGTAAGTATTTGTAGAATTCAGCTTCTGAACTTAAGGTGCTTATGAGAACATTACAGGTCTTCTATGGCACCAGGTTATGGGCTACAAATTCAACATTAGCATTCAATGTTATTTCTAACTCAGTCATAAAGAACTATATTTAACTGATATTTCAGATCCGCTTTAATGCAAATGTGGGGATTTACTCATAGTATATGTTACAGGACAGAAAAAAAAATACTCATAGTTTTTTATTCATACTTATCCTTGTAGTATCCGAGTGCCTTACACAAAACATTGATCAGTGCAAATAATATCTGCTCAGTATTGTTCTTTCAGCTTCTTCCCAAGAAGAAAATTTTGGAATCTTTTTAAGCACAGCAAAATACTATTTACATTAGAGAAGGTAAATCAAAATAATGCCCCCTTCTACTTGTTAGGATTTTTTGTTTGGCTATACATTTCCCTGACTGGTGTAGGATAAAATTATTCTGTCGTTGACCCTAACTGTAGACCTCTCTATAAGAATGTAGCCTTTGAAGCTGGCTTCATCTTTGCAGTCACACACTGGATTCTAATCACCTTCTTGCTGTTAATTTTTAAGGCAGTGAAAATGGTTTAACTCTTAAGTTGTTTGTACATAAAAGCCTTTGAATATTTTTAGGGTTCCCAGAATACTTTTGATGACCAAGGTGGGTAATTTTTTTTTTTTTTTTAATTGTGTTGAATTAAAACAAATCCTTTTCCTTGGCTATTGCCAATTGTT